CCAGGTGGGACCAGGTGGGACCAAGTGGGTCCAGGTGGGTCCAGGTGTGCTGGTGGCTACAGGTGGGACCAGGTTGGTCCAGGTGGGACCAGGTGGATCCAGGTGGGACCAGGTGGGTCCAGGTGTGCAGCAGATGCTAGTGTCTATGGTTTGTGGACGTCTTCGTGTCTCAGGATCTTGTACAGGACCCAGTAGAAGATGTTGAAGAAGAGGAAGGCCAGAGGGAAGCCGGCCCTCGACACAGTGTCAATCTTTTTGGCTCGGTCGATGAACAGCTTCCTCATCTCCTCGGTGCTCCTCCCGCCTCCTCCCGCCGCTCCAGGTGCATTCTGGGTAGCGTTGGCCGGAGTGCCGGCCGCGTTGGGCGCTGCCACCGCGTTGTTGGCGCTCGACTTGGAGTCTTTGCTGTTGCTGGGAGTCGAGGTGACGGCGGCCGGGGAGGTGATCCGACTCTCATGGACCTCCCCCTCCTGTAGGGGGGGAGGAGGAGGAGGAGGAGGAAGAGGATTAAGAGGAAGAGAAAGAGAAGAGGAGGAGGAAGAGGAGAAGGAAGAGAAAGAGGAGGAGAAAGAGGAGAGGAGGAGGCGGCGGAGGAGGAAGAGGAGGAAGAAATCTCTTGTTTCTTTCCAGGAGTGTTTCTATGATCCAGAACAGGTCTAACAGCACCAGTGACCTCCATGTGGAGCATCAGGACGTTCTATCAGGACGTTCTGCTCGACCCTCTGACCTGCTCAAAGCTTTCATCAGATGATATGTAAAACGCTCTCTGAGGACTCCTGGATCGATCAGATCATCTGCTCTGACGTTAACAAACGACACCACAGAGCTGGAGCTTCAGACATCCTGATGCCTGCTGGTGTTCTATCAACAGCTGAAGCTGATCAGAGGCGTCGAGCAGAACGCGGTTTGAAATGTGATGGTTTGAAATGAGCACGACTCAGACAGACGAGACGATGACCTGAATTGAAGCGGTGGAGGAGGACAACGCTCGGGTCATGCCAGTGAAACGTGCACACACACACACACACATGCACACGCACGGAGCCGTGCACGGCGGTATTACCCGGTGGTTGCTGGCGTAGATGTTGGCCATGGATCCGTACGGCGGGTCCGAACGCTTGAGGTCGCTGTCGACGCGTCGGAGGGAGTCGGCCAGCTCCTCCGGATCGACGGCGCCTCCACAGCTCTACGGGCCGGCAGCATGCACACAGCGACAGGGAGAGACAGACAGGGTCCAGAAACAGGGTTGGAGCGCTCCGTCATCCAGTCAACGCCTCGCTAGAGCTGCATCGGCTAAGGATGCTCCTCAAGCATCGCTCTGGTTTAACTGTTCAACCAGCGTGCCTCTGTGACAAAGCCTCCTCGTCTTAGAGAGATTCAGAGAAACGTGAACCAAACTATGAACATCTGGTGTAAAAACATTTCCCTCATGACGACAACGTGTCCACAACGACTCCACATGTCTAATCATGTCCACAACATCAGGACAGACACGCATCCAAACAGCTCATTTATGCTGGAGGAGACCAACCGGATCTAAATCTGAGTCCAGATCCGTCTAAAACAACAACAATCTGTCCTTCATGAGTAAAACAAGTGAAACGCTTCAGCAGCTTCCCCCGAAACACAGGTTTTAATGTTTTTTATTTCCAGTCTGACTTCAAGGACGTCTCCATGAGTCCGACCTGATCAGCAGGATGTCCATCAGTGTGTCTCCAGGTTCTGAACCTCAGCAGCTCAACGCCACCACGGACCTTTGTGAGGACATTTGTGTTGGAGATTAGTTGAAAAGAAAAATGTCCAGAGATTGACTCAAATCTCTGACGTGTCCAGAATGACCCCAAACCTGTGAAACATCAGTCAGGAATTGTCCAGATCAATCACTATTTCTTCAGAATAATTCAAAATGTGTAGAAAACACTTACATTCTGCCCAGAGTCGATTCTAAAACTGTCCAAAATAACTCAAAACTTGTCAAGAGGTAATGTTAAAACCACCAGAACAGGCTTGTGGACGTCTTCACAGAGCGTCCCAGCGGTTAGTCGGTGACCAGGACGGACAGACGGAGGTGAACATCTGTTCCAGGAGGAGAATCTGTGTCTCAGTCAGACTGGACATAAAAAATGACTCCAGTATAAATCTGTTGTTGTGTTTGTTTGTCCAGGAAGCTGTTCAGTTTCTCTGAAGCTCTCCATCAGAGGAGGACACCTCATCCCTCTAAATCACCCTCCAATCAACCCTTCAGTGCTTTTCTACGTCCACTGGCTTCTTCCTATTTAATGTGAACGTCTCCTCAGCCACGTCTGGCTTCAGATCATTTAACCTGCAGCTGGACACAAACCACTGTCCACTGCCAGCAGACTGATGGAGGAGCTGCTTCCTGACCCTGTCTGCTGCTGGGTCTCTGACTAGCTGAGCTTCTCTGAGCGCTGACTGAATGCCGAGCTGCGTTTCCAACCGTCATGCAGGTGGTCGGCTGCCAGAGGAGCAGGTGGACCGATCATGCGGCGTCATGCACCGGTGCAGGAGGCGTGTCGGCATGCAGCGGGACCTCCTGCAGGGACGTGACCGCTTCCCGACGTGACGGCGAGCCGCCACACGGTGGCAGCGTCGGGCCACGGTGAGAAGCTCCACGTTCCTGCTGCGTCTACAGGTGTGTGTGTGTGTGTGTGTGTGTGTGTGTACCTTGCTCTTGCTCTTGTGCTGCCTCCTGAACCGCAGCAGCTCCTTGTGCTGCCGCGACACAAAGTTGACGGCGGCGTACTCCAGCAGCGCCGAGAAGACGAACAGGAGGCACACCGCCATCCAGATGTCGATGGCCTTGACGTAGGACACCTGCACGCACACACACACACACACACACACACACACACACAGGGTTTAAAACTGCTTAAAGCAAAGTGTGAACCAGATGAAGCTGACTGAGGTAGAAGAACCTGGAGGAACCTGTCGGGGTTCCTCACCATGTTCAACAACAACATGAAGCTCAAACACCCGTTCTAAAGGGGTTCCTCCAGAAACCCTTTTGCAGGGTTCTTTTATTATACATTATTATTATTGTTGTTGTTGTTGTTGTTGTGTAATCGTTCTTCAGGCCCAAACAAGAGACAAAACATCAGACAATATTGTCTCCAAATACATTTAAGAGTCTTTTTTGATGCATTTTTGACTAGAAGGCAGTTTTGAGGTGTCATCGATGGTCTCATTCTGAGAAGTCGACTTATTAAGAAGCCAACGCGGCTCAGGTAGAATTTCTCTGATATGGTTTCAGTAACGTGTGCGATTATTCTACATGATGACTCATTATGTTAAATCTATCATGATTGAGCATCTGAATGATTATTAAAAATAAACAATAATCACATCATTCTGAGTTAAAGACATCTGGACGTAGAATCACAGAGTCAGAACTAAACGTTAGAAAACCAGCCGTTAAACTGCAGATCTGTGAATAAATAACAGTAAAAATGACAGCGTGGAGGATCTGAAACGTTGTTTTTCACTGGTAAGGACTGAAGTTCTGCCCTGATACTGAGTCCAGACATGCTGTCGGTTCTGATATGTGTCCTGCTTCTTCAGTCTTGCAGCAGCTCAGATGTCTGATTTCAGTTTGTTGTGTTTTAAAAGCCAGACTTCCAGGTCCAGCAGCATTCAGAACAAACAACATTAAACAGCCAAGATGGACCCAAATACATAATTAAACACCATGATAAATAAAAAGGAAGGAGCAGCATGCTAATGAACGAACACTTCCCTTCCTCCACTGAAGTTTAGTTTCTCCTTCAGCGCTGAACTCGCTCCAGCGTTCAGGATTCACAGATTACAATTAAAGACGTTACTTCCGGCTGTCGAAGCAGCGCGGCCTCAGCGCTTCGTGCAGTAATGACTTATTCAGACGCATGTAATAACGTGGCGGAGTGCAAAGCTCTGTTCGGCGGCGGGAACATGAGAAACCTCTAACCTGGCGAGGTGTGTGCGTCCGGCGTGCCACTGTGCTAATCAGGCTTACGCAACAAAGTGCTCCGTGTCGCATCCCTCCTCATGCATACCAGATACCAGAACAGACCGAGGGCTCTTCCTCGCTCACGCTCTAGTAGCTGCCTGATGAGTGTAATCAACACACGCTCGTGCCTGTTCATGCAAAACATCCGCCGCTATAATGGCAATGCAACGCCAGGCCTCCAGGCCGCCGGCCCGCCGAGGGAATAAATCACATCCGCCTCACGCGTTCAGTCGCTTACCTGCACTACAAACCCACAGAGCTGTGGACGCAAAGCTGTGAATAAAAACTCAGCAAAGGTGTCACTTAAACACATAGAAACAGTAAAAAAAAAAAAAACCTGGTAAAATAATGGCAGCTGACTGAAATCCAGCAGTGTTACGAGAACACGCTGGAAAAGAACAAATGACTGTTTATTAAAATCCTGATTAATTAGAGCTCTGTCCAGTCAATGTGTAAATTAATACGATTTTAATTTATTTATCTGATGTTGTCTGTAGTTTAATAAAACTGTAAAACAAATTGTAGAAAATGACTCATTAACCATTTGTTAGTCTCTGATCAACATCATTTTTCTTAAAAAAAAAAAACAAAAAACAGATTTTTGATGTGAACGTTTTGACCTTTTTTTTAAATTTTTTTTATTTTTACTTTAACTTCCTTTTTCAGGGATAACATGTAAATCTATATTGTTCCCCATGATTTTACAAGTTATTATCTGTAATTTAACAAAAAGAGAAAAAACCTGTAGAATAATATTTAATCTTTTTTTCAACCCTAAAATAAGTTTTTTGTTTTTATTTTTTTATTTTTTTTAAATTTCAAATAATGGCAAATATCTGTAAAACAACCTTTTATTGCTGGTTTAAATTCTGTGTGGTTGGCTGGTTTAAAACAGTGGAGTCTTATGAGAACACGTTGGAGCTGATGGACTTATTCAGAACTGTTTGGGTTCTTTGGGCTTAAATGTGAAAGTCCTGCGGTCCAGCTTTAAATATCTGAGCTCCATGAGGTGGGAAGCTGGTGGCCTGGATCAGAGGAAGAGCTTCTCTACTTTATCTCTGCTGGACAGACTGAACTGTGGTCACGCTGCCGACAGTTTCTACCTCCTGACTGATGCTGGGCAGCCGGATCAGAATAAGACCCGGACTGAGAGTGAAACCCTCCCTCTGTGAACCAGTATAGACCAGTAGACAGTCTATCTGTGAACCAGTATAGACCAGTAGAACCCTAACTTCCTGTCTGGTCCGTCGATCCTCCTCCTGGGACACAGTGCATGCTGGGACATGCTGGGACATGTCTGTCCCAGTGCATTGTGGGCCACTCTGAGCACAGGGACCAGTACCTGAGCTTCGGACCGAACACTGACCTTCGGCAGCGACGTCCTGGAGCCGGAGCTCTGCGTCGTCATGGTGAGCACCGTGGTGATGCCCAGTGCCACCCTGGCCGGGGCGGCGTCCATGTTGATCCAGAAGGAGACCCAGGACAGGATGACGATGAGCAGGGACGGGATGTACATCTGGATCAGGTAGTAGCCCATCTGACGCTCCAGGTGGAACCGCACCTCGATGCAGGTGAATTTACCTGCAGCACAGCAGAGACCGGTGGTGAGGCCCGGTTAGGAGGCGGCGCTGGTGTCTGGGTCATCAGCTCCAGAAGCCTCAGTTCAGGACTTCCTACATCACCATAACTCAAGATGCTGGTTGTACAGTTCTGACCCAACAGGCTTCATCAAACTTCCAGAAAACGCTTAATAAATGTATGAAAGAACCAAATATAATGAATGCGTGATTGTTTTTGGAGGTCCGTGTGTTCCAGTGGTTCCATCAGAGAGATTCAGAGTCACATGAAGGATGAACATGGACCTGGTGGTGGATGGAGATGTTTGTTCCTGACTCTGGACTCTCTCTGCCAGCAGGGTTCTGTTCTGGGTAAACAGGAAGTAAACATGCTGCAGCAGCTACACCAGACGCCTGTTTGTGCTCCAGCCTCTCAGTGTTGTTTCCACCAGGAAGCGTCTGATGTAGCTGCTGTTACCTGTGTGTGTGT